GCGCAGTGCACTTTGGAGCACCTTCCAAAGTGCTCCTCCTTCTCCCCCTTCAACCTCTCCCCCCTCCCTCCAAAAAAAAAAATGATTGCGACTTCAGCAGTCCTTCCAACTCTCATTGTAGAAAGAAGGAGGAGGAGGAGGCGGAGGAGAAGGAGGCATACATTTGTTGCTCCTCCTTCTCTCCTCCACACCCTTCGTCTCACTTCTGTCCATTTCACAAAACCCACCCTCCTCCCAACCACATCCACCAATGTCTCCTCCTCCCTCATCCACGTCTCCCTCATCCACGTCTCCCTCTCGCTCTCCCCCATTTCCACACACTGACGCCACTTCTGCCTCCAATGTGACCTCCATTTGATGGGACTCGTGCAACCCATGTGACGCACTAACATGCTGCTTTGTCACTCAAGGACAGGCGTGACGCTAGCGAAAGCGAGCAGTTGACGCCCTCACCATGAGGAGATGAACGCCAATCCAGTGGTTGGATGCATGTAATGCCTGCGCCACTACTCGCAGTGCCTCTCCGACATCATAGGGCAGCAGCCTTGACCACACCGAGGACACATTGTTAAATGACGTGGTAAGGTGGGTGAGCGAGGTTGCAACCGAATGAAGTCGCCTCCATGGCGTGGAATGCGAAGTGACTACGCACTGAGACGCATCGTGGAGCACATCGAACCTGATTGCATCCTCCAACCCAAACGAGATGGTGAGCATTGCCATCTGCCACGAGGACCAATGTTTCGTTCCCTTTATGCCTTCTTTTGTTGAAGAGGGGTACAGTTTGGAGGTCGCCACAGACGTTGGAATTGCCAACATACAGCACTAGCAATCGCCAACCTTAATGACTACAATGACATTGCGTGCACACATGCAATTTCTCCTGCCTGTGGAGCGTGGCGCAACTGCTCGCATTGCGAATTCCTTCACACATTTGCCTTTGCCAACTGTGGTTGTCAAACGCCACCACTGAGAACTATCCTCTGTGTCTACTCCGTGCAGCACTTAAGTGGCATCCGCAGAAAGTAAAGGCTGAAGTGGAACATTCACGATGGGAGGGAGCGGCTGGCCAGCAGTGCTTGAAGACAATTGAAGGAGTCGGCAATGCGCTCAACACAGGGTGGCATGCGCCGACTGAATCACCTCTGTTAGGAGGAATACCAAAGCCCTGACACCATGTCCCTTCGTCTTCTTCTCACTTCCACTGCCCAACGCGGACTGTGTGGTGCTGGATGTAAACCTTCCCAGTCTCCTCAATGTGATTGCATGTGATTGCCCAATTTATTTGTCGCACAACACTGCTGTTTAAGATGACCTACACTTGACAGAGCAGCAACATGTCTACGCACCTTTGAAAGGTGAGGTGGCGTCACCG